ACAATTGGTCATATGGCTGAGGTATAAATTGGAGAGCCAGAGGCACTAAGATCAAGAAATTATTCATTCACTGGTTCCTGAAATTAAGTCTTGCTGATGATTAAAAGCCAGCTTTTAAACCTGTGAAAGGGAAATCACCTTGATGATACGGAGAACAAGTAAATTGAGGATTTTCTCCTATTTCCTTTTTTTGCTATATGAACATCTTGGCTTGAACCTTGGTGGAGCCTGAGTAGTACCATGTAGTCATTGAACAGTGGAACAGTGCTCACTGTATTTGGTGTCAAAAGCTAGAACTTGACATCAGTCATGTCTTGTTTTTCAGCCAGGTGTAGTGGGGCAGATGCTGGAGGCAGCCGAAGAGCGTCCGTGGCTCTGGGTGGTCTATGTTTTGACTGTAGCGCTGCCTGTGTTCCTTGTAATCCTCTTCTGCTGTTCTGGCAAGGTATGAGTATTGGTTTGGTTTGGTTTTGAGACATTTTTAGAAAGAACTCTTATGATATTAAAAAATAAGATATATTGCCTGAGGCTTTCTTTCTAGCAGCTCAGTTGTGACCGGATCGCATTTGGTGTTGACTTCTGAACCCTTATTCACTACTCTTGGCGGCCATGTATTGTACTCAGATGGGAGTAGCATTTGTAGCCCCTTCATTTCTAGTAGTATTTAAACTACTCTCCTTAATATTTGTCAGCAGCTTTCTAGGGCAGGAAGGAAAACAACAAAAAACTTAGATATAAATCTGGCCATTTGGGCATAAACTAGCTTTTCCTCTTGGCTGAGCTGTTTCTATTCATAAACTTTATAGTTCTCATTACCAGGTTCCTCCCTTAGCATCCCTAACCCCTTTGACCTCCCTCTACACACAAATACATGTAGGGTAAACAGCCTGTTTGTCTTATTCAACCTTTGTTACATCTAATCAAAAATAAAATTTTGCTTAGGCTCTCCTTCTGCTAGATGAGGATGATGCTTTACCTTGCATTCAAGATGTTCTGTAATCTGACCCCCAGAGTGCCTTTTCCAGCTTTGTCCCCACCACTCTTCTGCCACTGTGCCTGGGTCTACCTGACCCCTTTGTTTGTACTGTTCCTTTTCTCTTGAAACCCCACACATTCTCACCCAAGAAAAGACTCTCAGGGCAGGAAGTATATCTTACTCATTTCCATATATCTATCCTAGTATACAGCCGGGTACAGAACTTTGCTCTTTAGGCATTTAATAATTATATGATAACATACTACATAAAATGTGAACAAAATGGTTGTACTGTGGGGAAATATTTCAGAAACAGTCCAGTCCTGTGGAGTACAAGAAGACTGATGCTCCTCAGCCAGATGTGAAGGAAGAAGAAGAGAAGGAAGAAGAAAGGGACAAGGGAGATGAGGAGGAAGAAGGTGAAGAGAAACTTGGTAAGAAGTAGACCCCAAAATATCTGCTTTCACCCAAGATTCTACGATGTTCAAACCCTTATAAACAAGTTACTGTAAAGATTGTTTTAGACAATTAATGCTAATTATCTAATTACACAAAACAGTTGTAAGGTTTGCTGAGTTGATTAACTTCTGTTTTAGAAGAGAAGCAAAAAAGTGATGCTGAAGAAGATGGCGACACTGTCAGTCAAGAGGGCGAAGATAGGAAATCTAAAGCAGAGGTAATAGGAAGGGGGAATATGTTTTGTATTTTAAGCACCTAAGTTGAAAGTACATTTAAGTAGAGGGAATATTTTCATAAGGTAATTTTCAATGGTCATGGCTGTAAAAATTCTGTTAAAGCCAATTTTATAAAAGTGAAATTCTTAGAAATACAGGTCAGCATGCTATGACTTCAAACTATATCTGAATCTCAGAAGTATTTTTCTGTGCTGAAAATGGTTTTGGAATAAGCAGAGTTGTAGGAGAAAACTAATAAAATGATTTCTGAGATGGCAACTGTAGGTTATTATTTTAGTCTATCTCTTCATCCACCTCCCCTAATTGTGCCCTTAAAAATATTTCTTGCACAAATCCCGTGTGTTGTAAAATTTCTGCCCCAGTTGCTCACGGATTCATTTATTTATTCAATAAGTAGTTTTGGAGTGCTCATTATATGCCAGGCATCGTCAGTGAACAAGACAGACAAAGATAACCTACCTTTGGGGAGCTTCATTTCTAGTGGGAGGAAACAGACCATTATCAGTTGACTTGATAAGGAAGTACCTGAGTGAATGTTAGAAAGTGATGGGCCATGAAAAAGAAAAGTACGATAGGAAAGGCTATCAGAAGTGCTGGGATGCAGCGTTAAAGATGGTAGGCCTCGTTGGAGAGGTGACGTTTGAGTGAAGACTTGACAGATATGGGCAGCCATTGTCGGTTTTGGGACGAAGTAGGTCTGATCACTCTGGCTGCTGTGTTTTCTACAGACCAAGTAGAATCAAGGAGACTGGATAGGAGGCTGCTGTGCGAATCAGGTTAGACACGATGGTCCTGAGCAGGGTGAAATGATCGGAAAGGAGGAGTGGGCTTCTGGAGCTGGGTTGGATGTGAGGTCTGAGGGAAAGAGAATAAGCCACACCTTTTCTACCAAGGTCCCTTTCCAAGCACTTCTCTATTTCATGATGTTTCTTTCTGGAAAACTACCCAGTGTCCATTTCCAGCTCCCACTATTCTGCCCTCCCCTTGATAAAGATCAATGCTGTTTATGTTTTCAGTTTCTTGACTAAAATGTAGAGTTCTTTCAGGTAAGGTTCAGTCTCACTTCCTTTTTTTTTTTTTTAACATATATCTTCATTTATTTTAAAGAGGAAGGGAGAGAGAGATAGAAACATCAATGATGAAAATCATTGATCAGCTGCCTCCTGAATGCCCTACACTGGGGATCGAGCCTGCAACCTGGGCATGTGCCTAGGCAGGAATCGAACCATGACCTTATAGGTGTGGTACAACCACTGACCCCCACCATCAGGGCTCACATATTTTTTATATTACCCAAGCTTTCTCACACGGTAAGAGAAGTCCAATAGAATAGGAAGAGTACTAGGCTTATTGTCTTGAGTGGCACATGGGACCTGGCTTGGGTAGTCTTCAGTCCCCATAAAATCCAGTTTTCTCAGTCTCAAAGTGGGGCTAATGTGTCCATAGGCCAGTAAATTATTTAGGATTAATCAAGATGACATGTGAAAGCATGGTGTCTGGTCTTTTTAAAAGAAGATGTTTGTGGGTTAGATTGAGAAAAGTGCATTTTCGTGGAAAGAAAACAAGAAAGACTGGATTAAAACACAGTCCCGCCACCTCTAAGACAGTTGGTTTTTGGTACTTTTTCTTCAAATCATTTTTTTCTTCATATTTTTCCTTTAGATGGGTTACCCTCAGCTTGGTAGATCTTGAAAATTTGGCGAATTTTTACTTTTCATAATATGCTAATTATAATGAATTTGTGTTTTTTTTTCAACCAATAGGAGGATGACATTTTGAACAAATCACCAAGAAACAGAAAGCTAAGAAGAGAGTAAAATTATCTTAAGAACTTGATATGTGATTTCCTTTCCCTCCCCTTCCTCTGCAAGTGTGGTCCTAGGAGAGAACCTGGCACATCTTAGGTTGAGACTCAGAAAACCTCCGGATGTCACCTTCAACAAGTTTCAGTCAAACACTAGCCCGTGTAATTTTAAACATCTAGCAGTAAATGCAATTGTGACAAAAAGGACCCTGTTTCTGTAGAAAGAAAGCATTTAACAATGGTTGTGAATTGTAACATGAAGCAACTAATTTGTATTTTTTTTTGTTCTGTTTTTAAACATCTTTGTTTTTTTTAATAGAGTAATAGAATTTTGCCAGTCTTTAAAATCTTGGCTTAATTTAATATATTGATGTGTCCATGCAGAAATAACACCAACTTTTAGAAATTCTAGGGGGATGAACTGCAGTTTTTAGAACCAATTTTGTTTGAGTTTGGTATTACAAAGCATTCAAGTGTCTCTGTCCCTTAAAATTGATAATCATGTTTAAAGTGCAGTTATTTGTCATTATAATCTTGTATTGCTTACTTCCATTCCTCCTAAGGAAATTGAGGAGAGGGATTGAATGGAAGCCCAAATTTATACAAAGGTTCTGTTTAAATTGTATTAAAAATGGACATAAAAAAAAGAAAAAAGACTTTTCACTCGATGTTGGTTAGACCATAAAGTGTGTGTGTGTTCTGTTATGCTTGGAACAGCTCAGTTCACAGACAGGTTTAAGTTAGTGGAGGAGGTGGTATAATGTGGCATTTGGGCCTTTATACTCTGCACACCTGGCGTGTCTGGGCTGCAGTCTTCTTGAACAGGTGGCTTTTTTAAAGACTGCTACCAGGACATGTGCGCTCCAGAGAGAATCTGGTGTTTTCATCCCATCTTCCATTCTGTGGACACTGTTTCCCTCCCTGTTTCCCAGAGTCCTAGCTTTCTCCTCTGCTTGCCTTTTCTTCACAGCGCCTTGCTGTCCGTTGCTGAAAATGATGATGAGCTCTGCATAGTGTTAAGCTTTATTGTGATTGTGTATGTTTCTTCCTTTTTTAAGCAGACCTGCACCTTTCCAGGGTCAAGTACAGGATAGAATGCTATCTTTGATTTTTTTTAATCCATTTCTCTTACTCTGTGTAAAGACTAGAAGTCTATCCAGATGTGAGCCAATTCCGAATTGACTGTAATTGAACACAGGCTAAAAAGTACTGATGGGAGGAGTGACATAGAGCATGAGTTATCCAATTTTTGTAGCTGCTAAACCCTTTAAGTTATCATTTGCAGTTCATGTAACAGTTGTGTCTTAAATTACATGATAAAGCAGTCCTGTTAAAAATAATTATTTTTTTTTAGTATGTGGATTGTAGAATATTTTAATAAGTGATGTTAGGTTTGTTTTTTCATATGGAATGCAGATGGGTGCTATCAGAGCCTCTCCCCCATCACAGTGTAATAACCTCACTATTACACCACACTGAAGTATATTCAAAATTAGATGTTCTTTTAGCTTTATTCTTTCTTCAGAGCTGTTTCAAATATACCGATGATACTGTTCCTTGCACTGAATATATAAACACTCCAGAGTGTTTATATTGGGGAGATTTGGGGGAGGAAGTATATTTGTAAAAGATGAAGGCTGTATCTGTTTATTTTGTTTATCTCAATTTTTTACCAGTTCACTTAAATTCTTATGAGGGTGGGATGCATTTTTCTTGCTGTTCAGTGCTTTATTCTTTTCATCTGGTGTTCTGTGGTCACAGTGACCTTAGCTATGTAGCACACTTTCCCAAATGTATTGAGCGCGAATAAACAGTTACCTGGCAAGACCTGAAAATATGTCTGCAGATTTCTCCTTTGAAGCAAATGTGTGGGGTCATGGCATTTTCCAGAAATCTGCCTTCACTCTCCGTTAATATTTCATGCCTCACAGTTTCTTCTGGCTGAGCTGTGGAATGACAAGTGTAAATCAGTAGAGTGTTCATTTGCCTTTCCAGGGTTATTTAGCAGTTTGTTCAAAACAAGTCATTTCTTGGTTCTCCTTTTCACTCTTGAAGTTGCAACCTCCTGATGAAATGTCTGACACATTAATGAATGACCGGCTGCAGTTCTTAGCTCTTTGAAAGGCACTTGCATTATGATTTCACATGCTGGCTACCCGTCCCGTTGCTGTAAGATGCCCACTCCATCAGATGTGTTCCCCAGTTTCTCTTGTTCACAAAATACTTCCCACTTTTCTCAAATTGTCACATTACTCAATGGTATTAAAGCCCTGTGTTAAGCATCTGCTTTTGACTGAACTTCATAGTAACCTTTAATTCACGTGTTTTGCTGTTTCAAAGTGGGTTAATTGTCCTTTAATTGGCCACTGTTGCTATTATGCAGAAACTCCAATGAACAGTGGGATATATAGTCTCGTCCCTTGGTATTCACGGGGATTGGTTCCAGGACTTATCCATGAATACCAAAGTTTGAGGATGCTCAAGTGTCTTACGTAAAATGGTATTCATAGTATTTGCATATAACCTCCACACATCTTCCCTATACTTCAGATTACTTAGACCTAATACAATGTAAATGCTATTTAAATAGTTGTTAAACTATATTGTTTAGGAAATAATGACAAGAAAAAAGTCTGTACATGTTCAGTACAGATGCAACCTGCAGCCATCAGAGGCCTATTTACATAGCACACATCAGCAACAATGAAACTTTTTTCTAGATATTTTCCATCCTTGGTGGTTGGTTGAATTTGAGGATGGGAACCCTCTGAAACTGAAGGCCAACTGTACTTTGTCACCATGAGGTGACGGTCAACTCAATGGAGATTCTACCTCCTTTCCTGCTGGATTAGAATCCAGTAGTTTCTGTTGTGGCATCGGGATAACAGCTCAGAAATGGAGGAGTAATTTATAGTCTTAAGATTTATGGGAACGAATGAGTTTTTAAATTTTTATTAGAAAATAAATTTTTGTTCATGTTTACATTATTTCAGGGAGGTTTTTGAAAATTAGGTCAATTTTTTTTTAAACGTGCTACTTAGCTTTTGGACTGCTTATGAAGAGAAATAGACATAGTGCTTCTATTATTTTTCCTATTAGAAACTAAATATTTATTCCTGGTGTAAAATTTATATGTTTAAAGACTGGTGAAAAACAGGACCGACCACATTATGGTATTCATGAGCACCTTTGCCTTGGCGGGCCACTTGTATCTTTTTACTGCATTTGTATAAAAACAAATACTATCTGAATAAGGATTCATTTTTTCTTATTTTAAAATATTTTTGTGGGTCCTAGTGAAAAGTTACTATAACAGCTGTTTTGAGCTGTTGATGGTGCCTCTCAACCTGCAGCTTCCTGGCACCTTCTATTTAACTTGTTGGCAATTAAGGCTCCTGGTGCCTCTTGGCCCAACACAAGACTAGTTTCACTGCCGCCTCTCTGGTCCCGGAGTTTTTCCTCGTCTCCCTGTCCCTTTGCCTGCCGGCTGTAACACTAGAGCATAATCGCCTTTGGTTGGATATTGAGTGACTCGATTTTACCTAACAGACCATCTTTTTAAATGTAATCCGGTTTTGACTGTAATGCCATCCTTTGCGGTTCTAGTCCCCGCTACGAGACTCTCCCTACACCGCTTCCTTATGCGAGCTGGGCTTTTTCTGGGTAAGTAGTAACAACCTGAAACTTACTCAAATTTTGATATAAAAGTGGAAATTGACGGTCCCAGTGATGCAGAGTGGCGTGAGAGGAAACCTTTTCCAGCTCCCTCGTGACATTTCGACCAATTAAAAGGCTGGATGTAAGCAATGGGGTTGAAGAAAACAGCTGACACTGGAAAGGCGTGGCTACTTCTGAGTTTATCTGAGCAGCTTGGGAAAGGCTGCCGGAACGCGGGGAAGCGCGCTGGGGCCGCCGCGGACCCGGAAGGGCCTGCCCGCGGGGGCGGCGCTCAGCGCGGCTCCGTCCGTCACCCTCGCCGGAGCCCAGCCCGAGGCCCGCCCCCGACGGGAGTTCCTTTAAACTCCGCTCGGGAGCCCCGCGGCGCCTCCGGCCGCTGGCCCCCGCCCCTCGGGCGGCCGCTCGCCCTATTCTGATTGGCCGCCGCCCCTGCCTCTCAGCCGTGACGCCGAGGTCGCCCGCCGGGGTCCCGCCCTCTTCCGAGAGCCCTGAAAACAATTTTAAGATGGCGGCTCCGGCGGCGCGGAAAACAATGGGCTCGGGGCGCCGCCACCAGGCCGCGGCCTGAGGT